GTCCCTTCCAACTCATTGATTCTATGATTCTATGAAAAGACAAATAGAGAATTTTCATCTCTGTTAGGTTAAAATTTTGATTTCTTTCTCTTTTTTGGTTCCCGTGAAAATTGTCCACTTCCTTCACACCAGTAATTTGAATTTGGAAAAGTTAAGTTGCACTTTTCAGCTTCAATCTGAGAAATATAATAGCAAACTAATTTCAACATGTCCTCTGAAACCTCCGTGCATCACAGATGAGCAGACCTGAAAATGGTATTTTTTTCTTTTCAGGAATATGATGCTTGCAAAGATTAAAATAGAGAGTGTAGAATGCAAGAGTGTCTTGCTACATGTTGTGGCACAGAACTTTTTTTAATGTTAGGTATTGAGCCCGTTTTCCAAACTAACAGTGTTGTAGCATAGCGGTGTATGGCCTGCTGCTGCTGAGGGGAAAAAAAAAAAGCAAAATTAATTTTATTGGATAGAAGCAGAGAATGTTAGGGTTGAATAGAAGCAGAGAATGTCAAACCTGGGTTGAATAGGAATAATAGGAGTGAAAGGAGTAGAGAGTGGGTACAGGTAACGGAGGCAGGAGGTGGAGTGGAGCATAAAGGTACAAACATAGTTTGGAAGTACAATGGCAGAAGGATCAGTAAACATGTTATGGAATCACTTGAAATGTTCCACTCCAGAACCAGGAAGTGATCCCATGAACCTTGACTCTTTTACGTACTTCTGCTTTAGGTAAACATCTGTGAAACCCACATACAATGTATGTTTCCTTCCCCTATAGAGGTTACCAGCTTATTATCACCAGCAGTTACTTTCTTTGATCAAGTGATGAAAGTGTCACCGCTGGATAAAAAGGTCCAAACATTGCTGATGACTGAAGTGGGGGTGGTCAGAACAGTTTCCTATGGTGCAATTGTTTTGATTTTTTTTTTTTTTAAAATCAGGAAATTTCATTAAGAGAATAACATATTGCAGAAAATGTAACTTGGTAAACCTAACACTCAAAAATTGAGAGATACGAAGGTGGTATTTAAATTTTAGTTTAGCTCCTTTCTGAATCTGCATTATGATGCAGGCTTTAATACATATTTATGATATGCAAGGGGAGTTTAGGTTTATTAGGAATAAACTTTTTCACCAGGAAGGTAGTGAAGTGCTGGAACCAGGCTACTTAGAGAGGTTGTGGAATCTCCATCTTTGGAGGTTTGTAAGACCTGGTTAGACAAAGTCTGGGCTGGGATGATATAGTAGGGGCAGATCCTGCTTTGAGCAGGGGGTTGGACTAGATCAGTGGTTCTCAACCTTTTTTGTACCAGGACTGATTTGTTAATATCAATGGCCACTCCCAACACAGTGCCCCTCACTCCCAGCCCCCACTGAGGAGCAGGAGGGGGGTGGGTGGGGAAGAGATATGGGGGGGCCTAAGCAGCCTCTTGCAGGCTGGATCTCTGCCATCCTGCAAGAGAAAAATAAGTTTCCCACATTTTTCTCCATTAAAGGAGTATTCATTCTTAAAGTTTGTTTGCGACCCTTTCATATATTCTTGCGACCCACTTTTGGGTTGCAACCGATGGGTTGAGAAATTCTGGACTAATTGACCTCCTGAGGTCCCTTCCAACCCTAATTTTCTGTGTGTCATGAACCCTGTTACTTTTGGTGTTCATGGCATGTCATAATTGTTTTCTTGTATTTTTATTGTAGTGGTATGGCATGTGCAGTTCTGTTGGAAAGCCCATGTTATGCTGTGTCCATTTATGCTATTATCACTATATGGATTATGTTATGTTGGCTATGTATATCTTTGTGGTTTTGGATTT